AGGACGTACGTTAATACCTCGAGTGTTACGCGCTAACCGACCGGGCGATAACGCGCGTGCGCGTGCGCGCGCATACGGATCTTTTTGTATCGTGTATTTGCATTCGTGACATTTCTCGAACGCCGACAACGTTATCAGCGCGACGTACTTCTGGATGCGAAATTATATACGGCCGCTGACGCCGCGCGCGCGCGCGCGCGCGCGCGGCGAGGGAAATGTTAAGGCCATCTTTCATATTTATCGCGCGACTTTTGTGCGCAAATTCTGAATTACAAGACATCGCCGCGATCTAACGCCGTAAATCACTCGCCGTTCACGCGTTTTGTCTTTGTCTCGGCGCGCGATAACCGCGCACAATGTCTCCCAGTCAATACGACGCTCGTAGGTATTCCGGATAATCTCCGGGTCGCGCGACAGCGCCGTAAGTGCCTTCAACGGTGCTAACCTTTAAAGGCCGAATGATCAGTTAACTGACCAGCCCGCATAGTCATTCATCGTCGAAAGGTTATTAAACTGACCACGCACTCGCCGCCCATTCGTGTTTCGCGGTTTGCTGCGAGCGCGATAATTATCGCGTGAGCGTCGCACGTCCGCACGTCGATGCACGAGCGCGCGCGCGGTCGCTTTCTTCTCCTCTCCTACCTCTCGAGGTTGCCCCGCGCGCGCGGACTAGCAAGGAACGGCGCGATTTTCCCCTCCGAACCGTAAATTCCCCATTAATATCGTTCGCCTTATCGACGTTATTAATTTTCCTCCAAGCGTCGTCGTGTCGTGTCGCGTCTATTTCATCACCGGCGGAATCGTCCGAAAGCAAAATCAAGCGGCCGTCGTCCGCCTCAAACGCTCGTAGATGATTTCCCGCGCCGTGGCTGCGCACGGGAGAGGCATTTATTCCGAGAATTTTATCGGATTCCGTGTACTAGCGTGCTCTTTCGGCGATCTCCGCGACATTTACGCCACGAAGTAATCACCGACGATTCTCTCTCGACGTGTCTCGAAGCGCTGACGTTGAGCATCGACGAAGCGAGAAAGTGCTCGCCCCGGTGTCGGAAGGTGAGAAGAAATCGGTAAACGCTCCCGTGCCGCTTTTGCACAGCACGCGGTTATGAATGGGAAACTGATCGCACGATGGGACGTATTTGCCGTTCGATGCACGCAAGTAAATACGTGGACCATTTACCGACGCCGATCCATGTACGTACGTAGGAGAGAGAACACTGAGAGAGAGAGAGAGAGGAGAGAGAGAGAGAGAGAGAGCGAGCAGGTAATCGAGGCGTAAGCAGCCAATGTACACATCGCTTCGAGGAAGAGGATAATCCCGGGTTTGCAAACACGAATTTAAAGCCTCGGACTTGAAGACGCGTGCGAACGCGACGGCACGCTCAGCAGCGGCCACGAAATCCGCTAATTAGCGCGATCGAGCAAGGGCGGCGCCCGGAAAAACACTCTATCCTTCGGCGATCGATCGATCGGCTCGCTCAGCGCCGAGCAGTCCGCCGACCGTGTGAAAATTTCACTCCCAAAGAGACTCGAGTCGCACTTGACGTCGACGAGAACTCACCTGGTCGCAAGCGTCGCCGCCGGTGCCGCCGGTATCGAGCCGCGGCGGTGCGACGAGGTGTCATTCGCCGAAATGACGCACATCCGCCCGTCATCATCAAGCGTGTCATCTTTAGTCGGGCGTCGATCGATCGAGATGAGTTAGTTAAATGGCCATTTTTATTTCGTGACCGCCGCCCGGCGGAAAGAAAGAGAGAGAAAGAGAGGGAGAGGGCGGATGCGCCGGCAGTTTGCGATCGCACGAGTTAAGGGGAAATTGAACTCGAAATTTCGCCGGACGTGCGTGTCATGAAAGCGACTGGCCGACTGGGAGCTTCGACTGGGGACTTCAAGGGAGGTACCTCCGATCTTCCGGCACTGGCACTGTCGTCCGCCGCAGATAGGCGAAATCGCAGAATCGCGGCATTACCCACATTGTCGTTTCTTCTCCCCCCTCCCCTCCTCCCCCCCCTCTCTCTCTCTCTCTTTCTCTGTGTGTGTGTAATCACAGCGATCGATCAATCATGCTTCTTTGCGTCGGTGCCGTCTGTCTGTGTCTCAGCAGCCGCGTGGAAGCGCGTGTCATTGATCGTCACTCGCGGATCTACATGGTCTCCTCCATTGATTCATCGGCCACGACGCAGCGACCATGATGAAGCTTCCGGAACCGCCAACAGGAATGATCGGGACGCGCAAGGGGGTAATCGGTGCCGAGAAATATTCCGGTATCTTTTCGCGGCGGCGTCATCGCGCGAACTAAAGAATATCGCAGTTGTAATTAAGAAAACGGAGCCGCCGTCGTCGCCGGCGTCGCTACCGCCGCCGTCGCCGCCGCCGCCGCCGCCACCGCCGCCGCCGCCGCCGTCGCCGCCGCCGTTGCTGTGCTCCGTGGGGGCGAGGGGGTGCTTCACAGGGAAGTCGCGGGGAAGGCGGGTGGTGTCGACGGGGGGTAGTAGCCGCGGGGGTGGAAAAGTCTCTGAAAAACGCGCGCATGACAATGCCGCCCTTCCTAACCCACCCCGTCCTCCGCCGCACTACCACCTTCTTCTCCTCCTCTTTTCCCTCCGCCTCCCCCGTCGTCGCCGCCGCCGCCGCCGCCGCCGCCACCGCCACCTCCATCTCCTCCTTCTCTCTATCTCCTTTTCCACCACCTTCGCCGCCTCCACAAGCTTCGCTTGGTGGGGGCTGTCGCGAACTAATTAAAAATTCAGCCGACGACGAGTTACCCGAAGACGTTGGCCTTCCATCCCTCTTTTCCCTCTTTCGCTCTCGTTCGACCTCTCCTTCCGCCCCTGATTCATTCACTCACACATACACACACACACACACATACACTCTCTCTCTCTCTCTCTCTCCCCCTCCCTCTCCCTCTCTCTCTTCCTCTCACTCTCCCTCTACCCCCGTCTTATCCTTCGCTCTCTCGCACTTAACTTTCTCGCGCCGTTCGTAGCTTTTTTACCTTCTCTCCGTCGGCCACGCGACCGCCGATCCTTTTCACTCTTTTTTCGTCGCGCCGCCACGAGGAGCGGCCGCGCGCGCTCACCTCATCGACAGGTTGCCCTCTTCATCCGGACGCGAGTTGGCCGAGGGAAGCGAAGAGTTAATTACCGGATCGCGACCGGAGTGCCAGATCGGTGCGGAAAACTTGCATTATGACCAGCGTATTCAATCTCTTTCCGTGAATCCCCCCCGTGAGCGTCGTTCGCCGGGGAATTAATCGTGAGAAATGCAGATATCGAGCTGGGCTTCTCTCTCATGCGTCGGCCACCCTTGTCGTTTCTCTCCGCTCTTCTCCTCCTAGCCGCACGTCTTGTTTCGACGTGGTACGCGCGTCGCAACGCCGACGGTAGAGAATTGGGGACGTATATAAAATGATTAGGATCGAAATGGAGCGTGCCGGACTTGCGTGACTCGATTGAAAACGATTTACGGCGATCCGTGATCGGATCGACCGGGAAGGATTTGCGGGCCGCCGATGATCGCCGAGAGTTCCTCGTTACAAATGGCACGGATTTGTCGACGGCGGTTAACAACTGCGCGCGAGCGATTGGTTTTCATCTGTTCACTCGGCGAAAACGTGGAATCGTCGCGTCGGGCGGGTCGCGACGACAAATCGATCGGATCTTGCATGCGATTATGTCCCTAATTAACGACGCTGCCTCGTCAATACTGATACGCAGAGTAAATACCGAAACTCTGGTAAAAGAAGCCAACAGATGTCAAATGCGCGAAAAGTGTGGGGACACCGCGCGGTCTCGAGCCGTGGAGAGGCTCCTCGACACGATTCTCTTTATAAACGATACGCGCGCGGGCGCGCGGTAATTGTTGAATTCTTTTTCTCTTTTTTTTTTTCTTAACAGCGTAGAGGAAAGATCAGCGCGTGAAAAGTACACGATAATACGCGTCAATCGCATTACAGAGAGAGAGAGAGAGAGAGAGAGAGAGAGAGAGAGAGAGAGAGAGAGAGAGAGAGAGAGAGAGAGAGAGAGAGAGAGAGAGAGACACTCCTCGCACAGGCAAACAAATGTTTGTGTTTTGGACGGCGGGTTCGTTGGGATTTAAAAGCAGAATCGATCCGACGAAGTTCTCGTCGTCGGGTCGATGTTGTTTATCGATGGATTTTGTGAGAATTATTATCCTAGAGATCCTGCTGATCTCCGTCTCTCGATTCTGCTTCTCGCAGGAAGAAACGAACGCGGGTAGATTCGAACCGATTGACCGACAAGTCGACAAGATCACTGATCGAAATGGCATGCATTTGTCGACGATGCGGTAGAATTTTAATTAATAATCCGACACTCCAATCTCTCTCGTCTCAAGCGCTTCGAAACCAGCAGAGTTCCTCATTGACAGAAACCTCGACGATGTACTATCAAATATTGTATTTAATCGCACACGATTACACGCGATAAAGAGCGACGACGACGAGAACCTGAAGGGGGAAAACATCGTAAAAGTGGGCAAAGCTTGACGATTTTAATAACTTGCTTCGTCGCTCCGCTCAACCGCGTGGGACAATAAACTCGCTCATAAACTCTAAATCATTGTCACATGATTTTCTGCCCGCCCGTACTCGCGGTGCGATCTGTGTGTATGTGTGCATGTGTGTGAGAAAGAGAGAGAGAGAGAGAGAGAGAGAGAGAGAGAGAGAGAGAGAAATCACGCGTTCAATCATTTCGACGGTTGCAACCGTCGGTAGCGACGCGCGAGCGTTTCGCCTCGTTCTAATTGAATTCAAAACAATTCGACAAGTGACCGATCATCATTGCGGACGTGTCCGGAGAGAAATTCTCTCTTTCTCTCTGTGTCGGGTCTCTTCTACAATACCCTTAACGATGCTTTCGGCTAACGGAGCTCTCGCGAAACGTAAACACCAAGAGTGATGATGGTCTTGAGGTCTCGTGTCGGCCGACGGGCAAGCGCGTCGTCTTGCGAGAATGCGACTTTTTGTCGTCACTCACCTTGCGCGATCCTGACCGCGGGCATTTTGATCCTCATGGTGGCGTTCGCGATCTTCGGTCCTCGTCGCGTCGCACTGTTTCTTGGAGAACGAGTCTCAGCTCCGGCTGTTCGGGACGGAAGGGGATTGTTGTTGCAATTGCAATTGCAGTAGTTGTTATTGTTGTCGTCGTGGTCGTCGTGACCGTGGACCAAGGACCGATCGTCGTCTTCCGAGCTCCAGGATCACATCCGCGGGGACGAGATGAGGAAGGAGGAAGCGACGAGCGCACGTCGGCAGCAGAACAGCAGGACAAAGAACCCGATCACGATCGTCGTCGTCGTCGTCGTCGTCGTCGTCGTCGTCGTCACGCTTCCGCCCTCCTCCCTCTCACCTCGACCACGCGTTTTCACCCCCCGCGAGAGAGTCCATCCGATCTCCCGTGTGTGTGTGTTTGTGTGTGTGTGTGTGTGTATGTGTGTATGTGTCGTGACACTCTTTTGCCCTCTTCTCCTCTTCCCTCACGAGGACACCGCGTGTCCCGTCCTGTCACGCGACTCGTGTTCGCGCTTTCTTCGCGCCTCCGGACGTGCGCTATCCGACACGTCGGTGTAGAGCACTTGGTCACACCGCAACCTGGACGCACTTGTTCGTCAACTAATGTCGGTCCTCATGTTCCTCGTCGGTCGCACTCGTCGACCGCGCCACGTTCACCACCGTGAGGAAATCGCACGACATACGGCACCGCGACTCGGCTCGAGCGATCAGCGCTGTAATTAGACAGACAGACGGTGGACGAATCGACTGACTGAGCGAACAAACGAACGAACGAACGAACGAACGAACGAACGAACGAACGGACGAACGAACGAACGAACGGACGAACGGACGAACGGACGAGCGAGCGAGTGAGTGACTAACTGACCGGAGCGGTCCGCGCGCACAGATGCGGGACGATGTTTGCGGGCCCGTCCGCCGGGAACGGTGGCACCTTCGCGATTGACAGTAGTCCCGCCGTCGTCTCGCCGCCGGCCGATCTCCCAGTGCGACACCTCCGCGAGATGTACCGACACGCGGCGAGGCACACCGGAGGTGTGCTTCGTCACACCGCGGACGCAGCGGGTCCTCCTCCTCGCCGCGGTCAACAGAGTTCACAAGTAACAGTAGCAGCAGTCACTCGGTTCTGCCGGTGAACGCGGCAAGTCCCACGGCTCGAGACGTTCCCCGTTGACCACTCGCTCCGCACTGCTGCCTCGCCTCGAGCCGCCGATGCGGCGACGGTAACGAGGGAAAGAAAAGGGGGGCGATACAAACAAGTCCGAAAAGCGTCTCGTCGCGCCGCGAGTGTCCCGCAGAGTCGCGCGGCGCGATGTTTCGCGCGAGTTCGATGAACCGGACCACCGAGACGCTCGTCGTCGTCGCCTGGCGGTATCCCTCCGGATACCTTTGACGTCTTTCTTTCTTTCTCTCTTTCTGTCCCTCTATCTATCTATCTACCTCTCTCTTTCTCTCTCTCTCTCTCTCTCTCTCTCTCTCTCTCTCTCGCGCGCGCGCGCGCGCCTTTCCGTTTCTCTATTTTTAATTATCAGCTGTCAGCATGGAGCACCCACGGTCGCTGGACCACGCGCGATCACGGTGACGCGACGTCGGCGTGCGACATCGCGTCGTCGACGACGTACGGCCTCGGCGGACTGTTGTTGTCGTCGTCTGATGCGGCCTGACGGCGCGGGTGTTGGATGTCTGATGCCCGGCGTGGACCAGAGCGACGACGGTCCAGCATGGGTCGTATCGCCGAGTGGACTGTGCCGGACTGTGCGCGCCTCTAGTCGTGCCGTGCGGGACCTGGTGTGTGTCGGGCACTGCGCTCACTTCGGAGGCGCTCGGTTCGCCTCGGCGCCGAGGCCGGACACCCCACGCGCTCTCGGGGTAGTTTTCACCCCCGTGGTGGGGGCAATTCTCTCCCCCTCTCTCTCTCTCTCTCTCTCTCTCTCTCTCTCTCTCTCTCTCTCTCTCTCTCTCTGTCTTTCTCTCCTTCTCTCTCTCTCTCTCTCTCTCTCTCTCTCTCTCTCTCGCGCGCCTTCTCTCCCTTCGCCACGCTCCTACTCCACACCCTCCCGTGCCCCGCTTTGCTCTCATTCTCTTTCTCCCTCCCACTCGCGCGGTCGCTGCGGAACGTACGTACACATACGGAGTCACTCACACAGCTCCACGTGCTCGTCTCTCCTCGTCCATCGTCGGCCTCTCCGATCCGCTCCTCTCCCTTCCAGCTCTCCTCTCGCTCACCGACACTCCGGTGTCCCGGCGTCGGCCGTCCTCGTCATATCGCGGAGAGATACCCGCGAGGAGAGAGAGAAAGAGAGTTAGAGTTAGAGGGAGAGAAGGAGAGGGAGAGAGAGAGAGAGAGAGAGAGAGAGAGACTGGCTTCTTGTCTCGCGGGTACCTTCGCCGTGGCGGGTGGAGGGAGAAAGGCGCGCTTTTTCCAAAACGCAACCCTTCCTTCGCGCTGCGGCGCGAGAACGCGGCGGACACGATTTTCCGACGCGCTCCAACGGACGAGCGAGAGCCAACGGTCCTGCATCCGGCGTGAGAGAAGCCGCGTGTGAGATGCGCACACGGGGAAGATGTGCGTTGAACCGATGTTTTTGTTGAATTCTTTTAACTGGCATGAGTAATATTGCGCGATACACGGAGAAGAGAGAGAGAGAGGGCTATGTTGAAAACTGAGCGAAAATGGAACCGGGGAATTAATGGGTTCGTTCGAGTCTCCTCGTCGAGTCGACGATTCCAACGATATGTAACACATGGAGGCAATTCGGTGGTCATGACGTGGTTGTAGCGGTCAAAATGGCCAGCAAAGTTGGGTGCTCGAAGGTGACCGGTGACGCAGCGACTAGCCATCGGTCAGCAGGCAGCTCACGCGGCCTCGCGGTCTCGGCGCGGCTAACTTGGTTTTATCTTTTTGTTCTCCACGACTCAAATGGCCGATGTGCGGTCACTCGAATGGTCGAAACACGTCGTAGGTGTTTCAGACGCTGTCCTCGGCCAACCGAGGCCTTCTGGTTAGTGAGCCACAATGACACTTACCTTTACGTTCTGTGGAAGGTTGAGTTAACATCGACAATGAGCGAACAAGACGCACTTGATGCTTGGAGAAAACAGACTTTCTGTTATCATTTTTGTCAATCATTCTGTACACGCGAACGAGTAAAAAATTAATATACAAGCAAAGTCTTCGGCAATTCGTGGCGCCGCCGGTGTAATTACCTGCTGACCTGCTGAGGTGCCTAAATTATCGCGATAATCCCCAAATGTATTAATATGTATTAATATGAGGGCGATGCCAAGTTTTCGTTGCTGATCGTCTCGCCGCATTCCGCATTTGTTACATCGATGATTCCCCTCCGCGGCCACGGCGCAATGTTCGTCGCGCGTGACAAATTGCTTCAAGTTATTCCGACCGGTCGCGAGAAGTTTTATGAACATTAAGACTTCGGCTACAGTGCGCGCATTAACAGATCTATCTCGTGCGTTCTCGTTACTAATTAATCCGAGTCGCAATTAAAGCATCGTTGGAACATGACGCGCTTCCTACATCGCCATTGAAGCAGGAACGTGAGATGAATGAGGAAAACGCGGGTATAAGTAAATAATGCGGATAAGATGATAAATTCAGGTACTTTCTACGGCGTCCGAATTAATATCACCCGAAACTGTTTCGCTTTCGCTTTGGTTCTCGCGGCCGTTATGCCGCTTCATTACGAGAGCGGGGCTCTCCAACTGTTAAAAAAGCGTCGCCGCGCGTCGCGCGACGCGCTGCTGCTAAATGCATCGGCCGCGACCACATTTACGGAGCGATCTTACCGGGAGCGATGCGCGCTCGTCGTCGTCGTCGTCGTCGTCGTCGTCCCTCGAACTCGCCGTAAACACGTAGCGTCGAATCGCGGAGAAAGCGGAGTGCGGAGGAGCACACAGGAGTACCTGCTCTCTCACATTAATTATTCCGCGGCTAAAACCCCCTCATTCTACTGTGTGTGGGATCGATATCCGCGACGCGGATCTTTCCACGCTGGGATTATTCGTCGGAGGATCTCGATCCTGCGGCTAGGCAAACGGGATAAGGAATGGAACAAGGATAGACGGACGGCGAGAGAAAGAGACAGAGAGAGAGAGAGAGAGAGAGAGAGAGAGAGAGAGAGAGAGAGATGGAGAGAGGGAGAGAGCTAGCGAAGGAGAAGGAGAGGATCCGCATAGAAAAGAGAAAGAGATATGGGAGGGGGGTAGAAAGGAAAGAGACGGACGCGGCGGAGAGTCTCGCATTATTCTGGATCCGAGACGTTCATCCGTCTACAAAGAGAAGCGGTGGTCGCGATAGGAAGTTCGAAGTTTCAAAGGAAGCGTGTGTATAGCTCGCGCCAGTACGTATCTTACGCATCCGTGTATTTTACGTATTACATATATAACGTCGCATCTTTCTCCTCTCTCTCTCTCTCTCTCTCTCTCTCTCTCTCTCTCTCTCTTCCTCTCTAGCTCTCTTTCTTTCCTTCCCCTTCACCTCCGGTCCACAATGACGGACCACGCGATACGATGCGCCCTTTAATTTTCCGCCGGGGCAGGGCGGTCTCCTTCCTACTTTCCTCAAGTTGAGCGGCGCGGAGGACAGAAGAGAGGAGAGCGCCGAAAATGTTTCCCAGGCTCCAGACGTGGCCCGTCCTCGGCCTGTTACTCGGGGAGGAGGTTCTGAAGTGACTTTTAACAATCCCGAAAAATTATCTGCTGCGGAGGCCGTGAGCGATCCCGGTCTCCTGGACAGTGTTCCGTGGACCTGTCCGGCGTATCTGGATCGACCAATCTGGGAAAGAACGTAAAACGTGGCCGGGGAGGAACGTCGTCGCTCCGATCGATATTTCCCTCTTCTTTTTCCTTCTTTTCTCTGTTTTTTATCAGTCACTGTAGTGAATTTTACACTTGACGTGACACGTGGTTTTTTGAACTGTCCGCCGGCGGATGCAATTTGAAAGTCTCTTACAAGAATCTCGACGGAATGTAAAAATAGCGGCGCGACGGTTTCTATCTTGGAGGGTCCGATTGCAGACGAGAGCCGCACCAGAGAGCGCGCCTCACTTTTATATCATTATAATTTGATGAGATATTTCTGCAATTCTTCCTTCCACACCGGGCGAAAAGAGACATTTTTATGGTGATCAGCCACCGCGTCATGTCGAATTTCTCAATCCCTTGAGCGGATCGCCCAAGTAACGCACGCACGGTGCATATCGCGAGCGGTACGCGCGCACCGAACGAGCGCGAGTGGTGAGCGACAGGACGACTCTCACGGTGCGCTCGCACCGGCCGCCGGAGATTAACGAATGCCGGATCGCGCACGCGGCCGAGGAAAGTTTTCGTCGCGCAATTTCGCGAGAGCGAAATTTCGCGGGGCATCGCCGCGCGACGGCAGGACCGCGGGCGCATCTATCCGATGCGCCCGCCAATTTATATTCGCCGCATCCAGTTTGGATATCTTATTTACGGCAGCGCTAGATAGATAGTATCGCCCGTTCGGAATGCATAAGTTATCAAGCGGTTTATTACGGGCACACATGCCAGGGTACTCGCTTTGACTCGCTTGCGCTGACGGCAGAGCAGACGAGAGCCTAGGAGGAAGGCGGAGCGAGAGGCGAGAGAGAGAGAGAGAGAGAGAGAGAGAGAGAGAGAGGAGAGTATGTGTGTGCGCACTCCAAGTGCACCTCGCACGTATCCCGAGGAAAGGCAGCGATCCGTTGACCCGTGTGAAACTCCCACATTCATTACCGCGGGGCCACTGTATTCTAGACGACCGCAAGTTCATAGAATTTTTCCGCGCTGTGTGTCTCGACGCGTCCCGCGTCTTGCCTCGACTCTCGTCCGCGCGCGAACGCTCGGCCGCCGGCCTGGAAGGGCGTTCTCTCCGCGAGAAAATGGGTGAATCGAAGGGGGGATCGACAGGAAGTCGTTCCTGGAGATTATAAATGCCTAATCTTCGGTGTCGGAGATGGTTCTGAAAGTTTCAGCTTCGCCCCGTTTATTTCCGACATTCACGCGACCGCGATGTCTGAGAGACCGACCGCGGTGAGGAACGCGGAGCGAATGTTTTTCGCGAGAGATCCGTGACGTTAGCGTTCACCGTAGCCGGCTGGACACGTTATTCGTACGTTACGTATCAGGATGACATTCTGTAAGTGGTATCTAATTACATCGCCGCGATCGTTTCTGCGAGAAGCGGCGGAGCAGTCGTCGCCCGGAAAGACAGGAAATTCAATTGCGCAGGACAAATTTCTCGCGCGTTCCATCCGGCGTCGCGGCGGCCTCCTGCGAAGTGTTCTCCCGCCTTTTTTTCGCAGTCGAAGTAGCCAGACGCGCGCGCGCGCGCGGTCTCGCCGCGCGAGAGGACACGTGTCTCCCATATATCGATGCGCGCGCGCGCGTTCGTCTAGTTAAGTGAAACAATACCAACAGCTTGTGATAAAGCACTCGTCACGCGCCTAGCGAAGTGTGTCGTCGGTACGGCCACCGGCTGATCCGCGATAGCACAATGGGACACGCGCCTCGTTAGATGACGCGTCCTCTCGGACGCCAGTTCCTCGCCGAGTGTTTCGACAAACGCCGCTGCGGCTTCCTGCCGACGCGTCGTCCCGATCGATTACGACGTAACGAACGTCTCCTGGCGGGAAGTGCAGGAATACGCTCTCGATAACTCGGCGTCGCTTCCCTTTTCGGCCGGAGAAGCGTCCTCCGGAGGTCCGCCGGCCTCACCCGGACTGCAGCGATCATCTATCCCGGCCGCACATCCGACAGATGCGTCCGAACGCATCCTCCGTGACGAAGAGACGAAGAGCGCGAGCT